GGGGGAGGGGGCGGGCAGGGAGGGAACAGACCAAAGTTGGCCGGGTGGGGATGGGGGGGTGAGGCCCCTGGGCTCCTGGGGGCGATCATGTCGGGCCTCTGAGGGGGACACTCTGGGTGGCGTGCTGCTGGAGAGCTGGGACTGGACCCCGGCAGGGAGGGCGAGGCAGGAAGTCCCGATCCTGGCGGGGACTTCCAGGAGGGAGCGAGGACTGGGGCGCGGGGTGCTCCATGAAGGAGTGCGGGGCCCCGTGACTCCTGGAGTACCTGGGTCCCTAGGCTTGGCGAGGAGGCCGACCGCGATTAGCTGCCGTGCATTGTGTTGGGGCGAAGGGGTGGGTGAGAGACCAGAATCCCGGGATTCTGACGGCCTCCCACCGGAGGATGGGGCCCACGGCGCCGGGGTCTGATGGCTTGCGTCTCTGCGCCCCACCCCCTCCAGACAGCAGCTCGAACCCGCTGCCCAGCAGCAAGAGGATGCGTACGGCGTTCACCAGCACGCAGCTGCTAGAGCTAGAGCGCGAGTTCGCCGCCAACATGTACCTGTCCCGCCTGCGCCGCATCGAGATCGCGACCTACCTGAACCTGTCGGAGAAGCAGGTGAAGATCTGGTTCCAGAACCGCCGGGTGAAGCACAAGAAAGAGGGCAAGGGCAGCAACCACCGCGGCGGCAGCGGCGGCGGCGGGGGCGCGGGGACGGGCGAGGGCGCACCGCAGGGCTGCAAGTGCGCGTCGCTATCCTCCGCTAAGTGCTCCGAGGACGACGATGAAGTGCCCATGTCTCCGTCCTCTTCGGGGAAGGATGACCGCGATCTGACGGTCACTCCCTAGGCGCACGCCTCCCCAGGGAGCCCACCCCAGACACTTCCCCGCGCGTGGCTCCAAGACTGGTCCTCGGACACGGCTCTGTTTCCCAGGCACCCACTGCCTAAGGCGGTCGCGCACGGAAGGTAGCGCGACTTTGCAGGGGTCTTCCGTCCTGGGAAGCGTCAAGAGCTTGGCTGACCTGACCTTGGTGTCTCCACCCCAGGGCCCGCGGCTATCCAAAGCGGACTTCCAGCTATGAACACACCGCAAGCGCGCGAATCTTTCTCTGCCAGGCGACACAGGGGCTCGGCCCAGCCCAGCGCCTTGCTGGCGGCCGGCGCCTCCTCGCCCGCCAGCTCCGGACTGGCTCAGGCTTCCTCGCTTCCTAGGCTCTTCTCCACCCTGAGCCAAGCTCGGCCTTTCACCTCTAGGGTGCCCATTCGCTCCTCCCTTTTTTTTTTTTTTTTTTTGTCTTTCCCTCCCCACCTCTTTGCTACAGTGATTAATCCACTTCCCCCAACTGCCACACACACTTAGGAACTCCTGGGTTTTGGTGTTTTTCTTTTCCTTTCTCCTCCCCTCTCTGCAGAGCCCCCTTGGAGTTCCTCGTTCGTTTGTCGTCCCCCATCCAACCTGCTGTGACCATGGCTCTTCTCAGACGAGAGAAACTGCCTGTCGGGAAATCGGTTCACTTTGTCTGAGTCGCTCTGCGTTCCCCCCAGAGTCCCACTGTCTGCCTCTGAGGACATTCATCTCCCAGACCCCAGCCCTGCCCCGGCCTAGCTTGTCATTGTAAGGTCTCTGTAATGCCAGAAGATATTTATTTATTTATTTATGTGCAAAATTTTAAATAAACTTTTTTTTTTTCTTAGAAATCCACATAGCTCTGGATCCCAAGCCAGGTTGGGACTTCCTGCGGGGGCCTGTCGGGGCTGGGTGATGGAGTCCGGCTCCATCCCTCACCTTGCTGCTCAACAGCCCCTCTCTACACCCTCAGCACCCCCACCCCCGACTCCGTCTTCTGCGCCCACTGGCCGGGTGCTCTCCCTGATCTGTCTGGTTCCGGCAAGGTGCAGCCCCGCATTAGAGAGTCCAGTCCGAACGGAAGGACGGGCTCTGCCCGCCCTGTGCCTTTCGTCCTGACCCCTGCAACGCCCCCCTCCCGCCTAGGGTTGGGCCCCACCTCCAGGCCGGTCGGCCTGCCTGTTCCCACTGTCATCCCTAAGGTCAAGGAGTCGGTGAACTTAGTCCTCTGATGAGCTCGGATTGATAACTTGCTATCAATCTTTTTTAAAAAATCTTACTTGTTAGGGGCAAATTCCCAGCGAAATTGTGCGACCTCCTCTCGGAAAGGTCCTCATGCCTTGCAAATTTCCTTAGTGTGGGCCCTGCTCCCAAGCCGCGGTTTCGGAGGACCCAGAGGATCCTGCGCCCGAGTTTCCGCGAGGGGCCGCGCGTAGCCGGTTCAGATGGCTCCAAGACCTTACTTTCTCGTCTATTCTTAACAACCCCACAGCCCCCGACGACTTAGAATCCACACCCCAGCCCTCCTGTAGAGATAAGCTGAGGTTTTACGCATTATGCGGAGGAAGAGACTCGGGAGGTTCGCGGGTTCCGTTGCGCGCACGGCACGTGGCCACCGGAGCCGGGTGTTTCTGTTCAGGAAATGGAGAACGGGAAACAGCAGATCCGGAAGAGGCCACTCCAGGTTCCTCCTGCAGCCAACGCCTGGATGGTGTCCCAGGCAGGGGAAAGTCTGTCTCTTGCGCCTTCCGGCACCGTCCCCCGTGCCCCTCCCCGTACCCCCATCTATCTGAACCCCAGTCTCACTGAAGACCGATTCTCCGCCCTCTCAGGAGGGTACATGGCGCCAGCACAAGCCGAACCCAGGATACTTTATGGCAGACCGTGAACAAAATAGCAACTAATGTGTTACTATCGATGCTTCTGATGCTCTTCGAGTTTTGCGCGGCTGACCGGCTGAGCTAAGAGCCCTTGGATAGTGAAGTTTCGATCCCTTAGCTCCAGTGCAACCCACTAGTCTGTCTGCCTTGAAACTCTGTGACCCGGCAGCAGAAGGGCCCCCAGGCCACCGGTCCACCGTGGATCCGGAGGGCTCGCTTTGAGCCAGCCCCTTCTCTGGGTCATGGGGCGGGGGGAGGGTGCACCTGAGGCGGGCTCTCTGCTGGCACACCCCTGGACCAGAACTGATTTAGGAGATGGTTGGGCCAGGGGCCTGGGGGATGGGGTTGGCGTGGGGAGGGGTGGGGAGGTGCGTTGCTGAGAGAGATGGAAATGGAGCTAGGAGAGCCAGGGAAAGGCTGGATCGCTCCCCCGCCCCCCCGCCGCCCACCCCCAGCTACCCCCACTCCTTCATTGTTGGATCGGTGCAGGGGCTCCTCCTGTCCCAGCTGCTCTCAGAAGCCGCCCATCCAGGGCTGCGCGCCGGGTCCGCGCGGCAACAGTTTTCACGGGAGAGCGAGCGCGTCTTCCTTCCTCTCGGCTTTCTCTACCCAGGATTCATTTCCCCCGTCCTGCTCCCAGAAAACCGACTTTTTCGCTTTCTGGGAATAAATGCATCCTTCTTGTGGTGGTGCCAGCGGTAACCAAGGCGGCGACAGGGGCGCAGCGCGGGAGAGCGCGGACAGGGCTGCGGCGGGGAGCGGCGGCGGCCACCGCTTCCGAGTCCAACAGGCTTTAGTGTCCAACCCTCCTCACCCTTTGGTCTCTGTCAGCCTCGGCTCAGACCGACTCTGCCGCCTGGGTTGGGGCGCCAAGGCACCTCGCCTAGGGACACGGAGCTTCTTACTTGGGAAGCCAGGATCCAGCCTGTTAACCACCACTGTATTTTGAACTGTAACTTGGGATAGCAAGGCAAATTGTGAAATTAAAATCAAACTGAGTTATCAGGATGAAATTTCCTGGAAATTATCATCGAGTGTGAGTAATCCACATACAGACCCCTGGTTTATTTCCGGGACAGCACCTTCCTTTTCTCTGTGGTTTAGTGACTAGGAGTCTGGACCCCAGAATCCAAGTGATCGACTTTGCAAGTGGTTACTTGGGTGATCTTGGGCAAGACACTGGTTCTTCCTAAGTCTCAGTTTCGTCATCGGTAAACGGGGATTTTCTTTGCAGGGTTATGATGCACTGTTACAGGACTAAATTCACCTAAAATACTATGCACCGGGTCTGCCAAGTTTCAATAAATGTTGACTAATCTTGCTGTGGTTGTCACTTTCCCTGCCTATAGCTGTGCCTGGGGCATGCTGAGTTATTTACCGAAAGCTGGAAAATGGCCACTGTCACACAGGCTGCCACCTGAACCTACTACGGAGAGGCTGGGGGACACACACAAACACGAATGTTTCCAGGACTCCCTCAAGTCAGTGCGTCGTTCAGAGAACTGATAATGGCCAGCAACTGCCCAGGCGCTGAGGCTCACCGAAGTTCAGACAGGGACTCTCCACCTGCATTTACATCAGTTTCTCAATTTCCCACTGCTGACATTTTGGGCTAAAATATTCTCTCTGCGGGGAATGTCCTGCGCACTGTGGGATGTTTCACAGCATCTCTGGCCTCTACCCACTAGATGCTAGAGGCACTCTTCCCTCTGTGGTGACAACCAACAATGTCTCCAGACACTGTTCCCAGATGCCTCCTGGGGGGACATTTCTGTCTGAGACCCACTCTTCAGGTTGAGAATCACTGATTTAGACTTGTGTCTTTTCAGCTGACGTTAGCTAGTCTGCAGTGGCCAGCATTTGGTAGCCTAGCTCTGAGCACTTCTCTCCTTCCCTTCATCCATCCCTCATGGAATAGTTGAACCTTCTCCATCAGGGGCTCTGGACTCTGCACTCAGGAGGGGCTTGAGAGGACCAAGGGGAAAGAAAAGGTGGGTGGGGGCGTGGGGGGAGAGACCACAGATGCCTGGGAGCAGGCTGGCCAGACTTGGGCATCTGGCTTGAAAGGGTGGATTAGTCTGGAGGTGTGCTGGGCTAGCGGAGTGGACAGGGCCACTAGAGGCTTTCTGAGAACCTGCTATCCTGTTGTCCCGTGACCTGTGGACGACTGAGCTCCCTCTTCAGTCATGTCCATGGGTACCCACAGGACCACACTTTGGGAGAAGGTTTCAGGAGCCTGGGTGGAATCCCCTTCTGTCAAGGACACACACTGACCACCACCACCACCACCAAGGTGGTTCTTCTGGATCACAAACCGTTTTGCCAGTGTCTGCAAGTCTGAAACAAGAAAGCAATTCTTTTTGACCTAGGCCTCCTGTACCTGGTTCAACACAAGGACCCCTGAGAGTAGCGACTACTGAGTACATCATTCATTTTTTCTGAGAAAAGGCTCTGGAAGGGCAAAAAGCAGGAAGTCCCTGGGGACATCTAAGAGCAAAAAAAGAGGGCAGAGTTCAGGGGAATCGGTCCCAGAAGTCTCCCTGGCATGGATCAGGGTTGCCTGGGCCATGTGCCCCGAGACTGGGCTCTGGGGGTGAGTGAGGTGCTGTCGGACAATTCAGAAGCAGACTCACCCACAAAGTGAGGAAGGAGCTGAGGTGGGCAGTAACCCCACCCACCCAGGGTCTCCCCAGTCTTGTATGTGGTGATCACAGGTAGACTTCTGTTGTCATCACTAAGTTGTGTCCAACTCTCTGCAACCCCATGGGCTGCAGCATGCCAGGCCTCCCTGCCCCTCACTATCTCCTAGAGTTTGCCCAAGTTCATGTCCGTTGAGTCAGTGATGCCATCCAACCATCTCATCCTCTGGCTTCCCTCTTCTCCTTTTCCTTTTTGCCTTTGATCTTACCCAACATCAGGTCTTTTCCAATAGTGACATGCTAATAAAGTGTGTGTGTGTGTGTGTGTGTGTGTGTGTGTGTGTATGCGTGTTTTGGAGATGAAGGTAAAGAAACGTGGAGGAGAACCAGGTCACCCTGAAGTTGGACACCCAGCTTCAGGGCATCCTATCACAATGAACCCAAGCCCTGGTGCTCCTATGATAGAACTCTCCCTAGAAAT